CCACAATTGAGGCCGTGGCTTAATTGGTTATAGTACATCTTGCATAAGTAACATGACAAGCGAGAAAAAAAATATTGTAATGGTGTATGTATTATGTATGTATGACAGGTCTTAAAAAGTTTCGTGGGGAAATATCTTTTCCATTTTTCCATGAACTTTTTGAATCTTGTCTACAAACACATGTTAAATGTAACAATTATACAATCCTTGTTTCTGCAACTGGCTAGTTACACAGTCTTGGCTGGCATTTAGAACTACCTTCTACCACCCGTTTCATAATCCCTTAAGCTCTCAGCAAACACCTCAGCTAGCTGTGGTTCTTTGTCTAGTTAGGTGGTTAGTTACTGTCGCCTGTTTCCAACTTACAGTGACACTATGCACAACAAACAAAACACTGCCCCGTCCTGCACGATCCTTATAATCACTGCTATTTGAGCCCATTTTTGCAGCCGCTGTGTCAACCCACCTTGTCCAGGGTCTTCCTCTTTTACATTGTTCCTCTGCTCTTTCAAGCGTGGTGTCCTTCTCCGAGGAATGGTCCCTCCTAGTAGCATGTTCTAGGTGTGATATAAAGTCTTGCCATCCTTGTTTCTAAGGTACGCATGGCTGTGCCGCTTTCAAGACAGACCTGCTCATTCTGCCGGCAGTCCATCAGATGTTTCATGTTCTTCACCAATATCATAATTCAAAGGCATCGGTGTCCAGCTCTTCCACACAACACAGAAGGTCACTGCAAACACCCCGGCGTGGGGCAGGCACATCTTACTCCTCAGAGTGACCTCTTGGCTCTTCAACGCTTTAAAGACATCTTCATATGTAGCCGTTTAATGCATTTTTATTTTTGCTGCTTCCATGGGTGTTGATTGTAAATCCAAGCACAAAGCAATTCATAGACTTCCACCTTTTATCATAATGTTGCCTATTGGTCCAGCGGTGAGGATTTTTCTCGTCGTGAGGCATTAGTAATCCATACTAAAGGCCGTAGTCTTCTATCTTCACCAAGTCGTCTTAGCATTCAGCAAGCAAGATCTTGTCATCTGCGCATCACACATTGTTAATGAGCCTCCCATTATTCATGCACTGCTCTTTTTCATATGGTCCAGCATCCAGGATTATTCGTTCAGCATACATATCAAGTGTGGCGAAAGGATACTCTGCCACACTCCTAATTTTAAAATACGTAGCATCCCCTTGTACAGGCTCCACATGACCTTAACGGGACTCTTAATTCTTCACAATGTTAATCAAATTTGTAATTGTCCACAGCCAAAGAAATGCCTTTGCAGCATCAATGAAACAGGTAACCATCTTTGTGGTATTCTCTGCTTCCAGTCAAGACCCATCTGTTATCATTCTACATCCTCTTCTGAATTTGGCTTGGATTTCTGGTGGGGTGGCCCATACCTACATTCCTGTAGGGCAGTGGTTCTCAACCTGTGGGTCACGACCCGCTTGGGGGTTGAACAACCCTTTCACAGGGTTCGCCTAAGACCATCAGAAAATATATTTCTGGAAACACATGGTCTTAGGAATCGGGACACCGCCCACACGCAGATACGCCCACATATGAGTACCCGGCATGAAGACTGGTACCCATGCTACACCATGCTTCAAGACAAAATAATTTATTTGTAATTAGAAATACATATTTCACAATATATAATTACATACTGTTTTTGTGATTAATCACTATGCTTTAGTTCAATTTGTCACAATGAAAATACTCCTGCATATCAGATATTTACATTATGATTTGTAACTAGCAAATTATAGTTATGAAATAGCAACAAAAATAATTTTATAGTTGGGGGTCAACACAACATGAGGAGCTGTATTAAAGGGTCACAGAATTTGGAAGTTTGAGAACCACAGCTGTAGGGATTGGCCATTAGTAGTCATTTCAGAATTGGGTTGCTGGAGTTTTCCATTGACTTTAATCACTGGGCACGGTAGTAAAAGAGGCTGTAGATCTTCTCTGCAGTATGTCCCACGCATACTGTTCTTTACCTGCATTATATACCATCAATCTGATTTCATGTTGGTCCCCAGGCCAGGAACAAGCTCAATAGCCAACGTAACATCCTTAACTTCCATTTCAATGGAACAGTGCTAGGTCTCCTGGTAGGCGCACTCCATTTGGATTCTCTAGCTCCGAAGAGCACAGGGTCACAGTGACAGGAAGCAAATGTTTTTTCAAGTCACTAAGGGGAATGGCGCCACTCCCATTTCCACTCCTTGATTCCTGGGCCCAAAAATTCTGGTTATGAGAGAAACAGCACCAGGCATTCCATGCGGTTTAGAGGCCAGTCTCCTGGAACCCTTTATCCCAACCTGGCCAAATACTATGCGTAACTGGTACCATCGCTGTCTTCCTTCCGTTTGGGCGGTCCCACCAGCCAATCTGTCTTCCGTAAAATAGCAATCACCGCACAGTCTCCCAGTGTGCTAGGGTGCCCTGCACAGATATGTTCCTCGTTAGCGTGGTGCAATTCTGTTTCGGTCCTCCCTCACCTTTTGTCCATTTTATTCTCATACATAATTGACCATAATAAGGAAAAGGGGTGCTTCATTAAGTTGATGCACTAAGCACTCTGGACACCCCAAAAGCTGACTGCTTTCTTCTTGCCGCTTACAGCAAAATGGGAGAAGAATCAATGGACTTAAAAACGAATTCTGCAGCTCATGCTAGGGGCTCAAATAGAAAATGTTTAGAAAATGACAGTGACAACATAGGTAAAAATGCATTTGATACAATTGATGTATGGATTGTTGAGTGTAAGCCCCCAATAAAATGAATTAAATTAAAAAATTTTCTTAATTCACATGTAGAACACATACACATACACACACATCTGCAAAATGAAAACAATTTCATGATTTGGCAGATTCTGTTGTATCAACTAAGGGCACGTCTTAGAATGTTCACCAAGGAAGAGACTACACGATCCTTTGTTAAAAGAAATTGAGTCTGGGAGTGACGGAACGAACTGCCCTGGCAGAAAACCCATCAATTTAAACTTAAGGAGACACCTGGAAAATAAAAACAAAAACCTATCATGGGCTCATGTAGTAAGAAAATGCTTTGAAAATGATGGCAACACATGTACAAATGTGCTTGGCACAATGGATGAGTGTATGGATTGAGATAAGAGCTGTAAGAGCCCCCAATACAAGTATTTAATGAGAAAAAAGAAAAAAAAATGAACGGACCAAGTCTGAACTACGTCCCCTCCCTGTCCTCCAGACAAAGACATCGGTGTGCAGCTTGGCAATCGGCAGACCTGTTGAAGGAACACGGCTTCTCGGTTTCAACAGGTGGGTCCTCGGCCTCCCAGGTTTCAAAGACTGGGTCATCCACCCAGTCCGAGTGGGACTGCCAGTTAGGTGTACCATCCAAATTTTGTCCACGCCAAGTGGATGAGAAGCTTCGCTATTCCAGCGGGCCTAGAAGGCGAGCCCAAGTCCAGGGGGAGGGCCCCCACCTAGAAGCCAGAGGACTGGGCTAACCTGCAGGGGCTGGAACGTGGACAGTTCCCCAAACGCCCTCAGAGAGAAAACCATTTTCAAGCCTTGAAAAGGTTCTGCTAGTCTGGGCCTTGCTGGGTGCACCTTCTTCCTTCTCCAGTTGCTTTCAGTTGTGATAGAAATGACCACTTCGTGCCTGTTCCACCGTTGTGTTTTGGAACCAGGTCACCTGAAGTCTAAATGTCACAGGCATTCTCAGATGCCAGAGCTTTGGGGCTCACGATGGAGCATGCTTAATGTCTCAGCCATATTTGATTTCGAAGATGAGATTATGAACTCCAATGGGAGTTGAGTTAAAACTCTGGGACGCTGTGAGGGGGATGTGTTTTCCAGAAGGCAAGGACATGAATTTTCCAGGGCTAAAGAGTGGAATGTTACGGACTGAATTGCGTGCCTCCATAATGTGTTGTGTATCCCAATCTCTGCTTGTGGTTCTTACCCCATTTGGGAATGGGTTGGCTTGAGGCAGGATTACTGTCAGGAGTGTCTTCACTCAATCTCGTATGAGATATAAGAGAGATTAAACAAACAAGAGGATGATGCCAACATATGGGACCAATGTCGCCCCAAACAGAATGCCCAGGAACCGGGAAACAGCTGAAGAAACAGGGCTGTTCTCCACAGCCGACAGACGCATTACCCTGAACTTGAAAGGTCTCCTAAACTATGAAAAAATGAATTTCTGTTTGTTACAGCCCCCATCTGTGGCACTTCTGTTACAGCAGCGCTAGATAACTATGGCAAACTGAAGTTACTTTGTTGCCATTTTGTCACATGTACAATCAGCCACAAGTGTTCAATTGTGGTTCTCAGTTGCCTGGACCATAGTCAATGAAGGAAATAGTTTTCAACATCTCTTTCGAGGCACACTATAAGAGTCTGTGTGCCTTTCTGACTAAAGTTATCTTGTTACTGGGAAAATATTTAAAGTAAGACGATATTATATATAAAACTACTTTGCTCAGAGCGGAATTGCTTGCGAAAGATCTTGGAACAAACTGCTGAGCTGCAGGGCAAATTCCCCTTCTTCAGTTTAATGGAATTTCCTTTAAAATCGTGCCTTGTCTCAAAGAGCTGTTCTTCTAGAAAAGATATAAGTAGTCCACAAGTAAACATTAATAGCAAAAAGTTCGTAGAAACCTAACAACATATCAATATATAGTCATGCCTGCTATCAGTAAGATTCTGTGTTGCTCCTACATCACCTTTTGGCCATCTTATTTCTCTAATACAAAATTGATCATAATAAAGAAAGATGGCACTTCCTTAAGTGGATGCACTAAGTAGCACGTACATGATACCAAAACGAGACTCTACACAGGCAACACTGGAGACTGTTTAGGTTACAGTCACAGGCGAACAAAGACCCATCCGAACAATATCTTAAAACAGTTCACAATGTGACAAAATGCTTCTAAGCACTTCTAATGTGTGACTCACTTAACATTTCACCATCAAGACCAGCAACCTTCTAGTATCCATCATGAAGATTTATTTATAAGACACAATCCAAGGAGAAAAATTGCTTAACGTTCAGATACATTATACTATTGACCACTATAGGGATTCCACCATATAGCTGAGACTCTGCGTAGTGTTTCACGAGCTTTTCTTTAGGCTTTAAGGTGAGGCAGAGATCTGGGCACTCTGAAGCAAAACCCCTCAGAAAGCATTCTTTTGTGCTAAAGGAAGAAATCTCACTCAATAGCAAAAAGCTTCAATACTTCCTTTTAAGAAATGTGAAGGCTCAGATCTTTTACGTCCATTCAGGCTTTAAATTGCACGGACATAAAAATCATGAGACAAAGTAGGGCTAGGGACTGGTTAAACTTAACACCTTTCAGAAACAACACTGCTGCACTGGACTCCCCACTTGGAAGTATGCTGACAGAGAAATTTAGGAAAGAGTCTGCAGATGCAGTGATCATCTGAATACTGACCAGATGTGTGGGCCATGAGTGGCCTACTAACTCAGTTTCAGAAAAATGCAATCAATAAGGAACACCCCCAAAAAATGGCTATTCGGAGGGTTACTCAAATGTCTTTGATCATAACCAGCCTTTGAAAATTCCCCAGGCCCATGTATGTGCTGCCACTGCTCTCTACTTCTCAATACAGTGTCTTCTGGTTAAAGTTCCTGAAGTGTGCCAAAGATGGCCCAGAGCAAGCGCTACACCCTGGTCCTCAGAGCAGTTAGCACTGATGGAGACTGACGGACGGCAAGGGGTATGCCGGGAAGTCACGATTATCCTAAGCACCCACCTGAGAGCATCTAGACCTGCCAGCACTCACACTGCACTGGATCCTGATCTCTTTCAGATTAAAGAGGATGGTCATAATTCACAGGGATTCTCTTCACATGTAAGTTCAACATAGAGTACCCCGCCCCACTATTACCGTGCCTGGTTTGACCATCACAAAACTCAGAGATAGGCCATTCTTTGTGCTTACCAAGTTACCATAGGAGTTCTTAAAAAACAATGCAAATGCATACAATCGAACATGACACTGGCTGCAGGAATGTGTGTGATATTCTACACAAAATAAAGAATTTGGACTTTGAGGATGAGCAAAAGTTCAAGGCTAAATTAACCAAACTCCCCAGATGAACACACCGATCCTTTTGATCTTAGCAAGCACCTTTGCCTGCCCCCCACCACACACATTTTTATTTGGTCATTTACAGAAAGCTTCTTTTTGTGTATAATAATCTCAGGAGAAATAGCTTCACCTGCAAATATAAGGTAGACATTTTTCACAGCTATAGGCTGTAGCATTGATTTCTCCAGGGATCAGTGGAGAACAGGAAATACGCACAACAAGGTTAATTCCAGATCCTAAGAAAACTGTCCCACGAGCCTGTCGCCACAGCCATGCCATCATCAGTTACACCTAGACAGCTGACGCGGTTGTCGTGACCAGCCAGGACACCTGCGGAACAGAACAGAACAAATACATTCTCAAGGCGAAGAAAAAGACTGCGGGCTTTAGAATTCAACTAATGTGTGCCTCAGATGATCTCTCCGGTGGGTGACAATCAGCAGGTTCTTCCAAGGGGGGAATGGGAGGACCAGGCATAAGCTGAACACGTCCTTAAAATACTGGAAAGTTTCAGATGTGCAGAAGATTGGCAGTTTTAATCTTTGAGAGGGTCTTTGAGAGCAGGGTTGTTGTTTTTACATCTCAGTAAACCAGTAGAACTTTATTTTACATCTCTTATACGTTCGTTCTATATCACAGTCCAAATGCGGCTACTACAGAGCGAGGCTATGTTCTCTGAAGCGAACGCAAAATTGTCAGCGATGTCCAATGAAATGGTCTTTTACCAAGAGAACCACAAAAATATGAGAATGGACTTGTCTTGTACCACCCCTTTCAAAAATATCAAGGTCATCTGCCTACTCTCTTCTACTGACTCTCAGATGTTGGAATGAGCCGCAGATAAGTCATGATGGTTATAACTTTCGGAAACCTTCAAACCCAGCTGGTTTTAGTTCATTTTACATCCCAAAGTTAAACTCAATACCTGAGCAGCACACAGTATACAGTGAATTATTATCCAATACTGGAAAGGAATTTGATACAAGTTAAAAGAAAAAACTGGTTCTAGGTGTCCAGTACATTTCGACTCCACTCCACGTGATGAGAGGAGTATAAAATAGAACATATCAAATTCTCAAGAATTTTTCCATTACCATATTATGTTTGACCTTGAGTTATCTCTGTATAGTTAGGCACGTCATTGTCATTCACGCTCCGGAGCAGAAGGTCACCCTGTCTGTTCATATTCGCTACAACCACCAGTTGTTCCACTGGAGAAAGACGAGGCTCTCGGTTCCCATAAAGGGTTACAGTCTCAGAAACCCACAGGGGGACTCTACCCTGTCCTGTACAGTCTCAATTGATGCGATGGCAGTGAGTTTATGGGTTTGACCTCCAAGTGTGACAACTGTTTGCAATGGCCAAATTCCCACGATGGTGAAATGCAAAAACTGAACATTGTGATGAGATATTCCAAATTAAGTGGGAGAAGTGAATTCATTAATAATTCATGAATCAGGGTTTAGGAATGAGCGGAAGTCCCAGTAGGGTGAACTTGAAGTCAGTTTATAAGCAAAGCAAAACTGAAGTTCAAACATACGTTAAAAATGTACAAGACATAAGATACAATAATAATTTATAAATTATTAAGGGTGCATGGGGGAAAGGGGAGGGGGGGGGAAGGAAAATGAGCGGATTCCGGGAACCCAAGAGGCAAGAGAATTTTGGGAATGATGAGGGCAACAAATGTATAGATGTGCTTTACACAATTGATCTATGTATTGTGATGAATTGTATGAGCCCCAATAAATTGATTAATAAAAAAAAATGTACAAGACAAATGTATTTGCATTTTGTTAGCGATACTAGTTGACGCAATCCAGGCAAAACACATGATTCTTTACAAAAGTAATTGGCTTTGGGCAGAACCAAAGTTTGCTGCAGTCTCATAGGAGAGTTACTGTAAAAAACAATCCCTGGGCACACCGATACCAGTTGTACTGAGAAACCTGCCTGTACAGGGGCACCATCCCAGAGGGACAGGGAGCGTGTGGGGGCAGCTGATGCCAACAACAGTTTACAAGCTGAAGGCTGGTAACTCAGCGGATTCCAAGGTGCTGAACTCAAAGCTGGTCTCAGAACAACAAGGGACAGAATGACACTGCGGAGCCCTGCAACGGGTCAGAGACTACTGGAACCAGGAGGTGGGGCTGACAAAGTGATGCTACAATAGGCTGCATTATAAAGGGACTCCCCTGCACCACAGCACAAAAGGAGAGAGAGATGTTTGCTGGAGCAAGGAGAACGGAGCCTGTCCGTTAAACAGAGCTGACACTGGTGAAACTGTGCTGTTTTAAGAAGTGCCAAGTGTGCTTCCTACTCCACTCCAGCGCCACTCTCCTCTAACATCAGCCCCAAACTCTGGCAGTCAACTCCCGGGCTCCAGGTAGGAGATGGAAGGCTCCCACGGCAATGTGAGCAGCCCAAGGCAAGCAGACCTTCCTTCAGAGATCCCCGTTCCTCAGAGCCTGCCGGCAGCTCACCTTGCACCGTGGGCTACAGTCAGTGCACCCAGCCCACCGCAGAGAGCTGTCACACATTGTTAATGCTCTTACCCGAGCACGCATCTAAGAGCCACAGCCTTTTAGGGGGGAAATACTTCAAAAACAAAGGTAGGAGACAAAGTAAATTACTAAGAGTGGGGGGGGGGGAACCATACAACAAAACCATAAAAAATCAACTCGAAAGACACAGTAGGGTGTGCAGAGAAGTTTTGAAAATGATCATTCAGTTTCTCAGAGAAGCACAGACTATATTCATAAAAAAGAACAGATGCCATTCAAAACACACCTCCCTATGAAGACTCAATCATTCCACGAAGATGGCACAAAAGGGAACAATGAGTAGAAGGATGGAAAGGAAACGTGAGGAGTTTTTTCTAGAATGTACAGTCAAAAAGAGAGAGAGATGAAGAAAATATAGTAAGAAAGTCAAAGGACAAGTCCAAGGCCTTCAACCTAAAAACCATAGACGTTCTAGAGAAAGAAGAAGAGAATGGGAAGAAACAAACATGCAAAGAAATGAGGCCCATTTTGCGGGGTGACTTTCCAGATTGAATGAGCCCTGAATGCCTAGCACAGTCTGTAAAGGAGCTCACCTCCCAACAGACGGCGTGTGAGGATGGATTCGTGAGAAACACACACACACAAAACCAACCAGCCCACCCCCCTCTAAATTATTCAGAGGGGGTCAGAATAAATAAATAAGTGCATATGTGTGTGCATATGTATATAAAATAAAGCTGTATAGCAAATAAGGTCACAGCACACCTCATGGGTCACCAGTAAATGGCTCTCGCATAAACAGGGAGTGTTGTTCTGAACAAACGAGTTGGCACCTACATGGAAACACGGGGGCTGAAAGGCTGTGGCTGTGCTTTGGAGAGGGGATGTTAAGGAAAGTTAAGCCTTGTCCTTGCTAATGAGTTTATAAGCAGTACCCAAACCCTGGGCTGTCGACCAAGTCTGACGCACAGGAACCCTGTAGGACAGGATGGACCGGCCCGGGGCATTTCTGAGGCTGTAAGACTGCCAAGCAGCTGCCACACTCTTCTCCCGTGGGCCGGGGGGTTCAAGCGGCCAGGCTTTCAGTCGCAGCGATGGCGGTGCTGGAAGCACAGCTCTATCAGAGAGCCCAGTCAATCACAGACCACGGAACAAAGGGGAAAAAGCAGGCAGCAGCCACCCCGGCGCATAATGCAAATATATGGAAGTTAATGCCAATCTATCTCAGGGAGCTCCCTGTGGGCGCAGAAAACAGGGCTGGAGTCACAGGGCTGCCACTTGGGGGTCATGAGCCATGAAGGACTATTTGATTCCTCCAGCTATGTGTTAAGTTTGTTGTTGTTGTTTTTGTTTGTTTTCTAAAAATTATTTTATTGGGGGCTCATACAATTCTTACCACAATCCATACATACATCCATTGTTTGTTTGTTTTTAAAATCATTTTATTTTTTGTTTTTTGGATTTTATTATTTTTTATTTATTTATAAACATTTTATCAGGGGCTCATACAACTGTTATCGCAATCCATACACACATCAATTGTGTACAGCCCATTTGTAGATCCATTGCCCTCATTATTCTCAAAACATTTCCTCTCCAATTAAGCCCCCCACATTAGGTCCTCATTTTTCCCCTCCCTCCCCGCTCCCCCCTCCCTCATGAGCCCTTGATAGTTTATAAATTGTTATT